AGGGGAGGGGAGGGGGGATAGTAGAGGATAGGAAAGGCAGCAGAATACAACATACACTAGTATGGCAGTAGGTAAAAAAGTGGATATGTAACCGATATGAATCTGCAATATGTATATAGGGTAAAATGGGGAGTTCATAATCCGCTTGAATCAAATGTATGAAATATGATATGTCAAGAACTTTGTAATGTTTTGAACAACTAATAATAATAAAAAAAGAGACAAAAAAAAAAAGTTCAAAGCCAGCCTCATCAACTTCGCCAGGCTCTGAGCAACTTAGCAAGACCATGTCTCAAAATAAAAAATAAAATGGGCTGGGGATATGACTCAGTAGTAAGTGCCCCTGGGTTCAATTTTTGGCACACACAAAAAAGATTTAATTGACAGAGTAGAGCAAGGGGGTTGAGGAGTGGGGCGAACAGGGAAAGGGAAGGAACTGGGAAATGAAATTGATCAAATTATGTGCATGAATGAATGTATGCATGAATGTGGCATAATGAATCCCAGAATTGTATATATAATGCTCCAATGAAAATATCTTGTTGAAGGTGGGCATAGTGGCATATACTTATAATCCCAGCTCCTCAGGAGGATAAAGCAAGAAGATTGCAAGTTTGAGGCCAGCCTGTGAAATTTGTGTGGAAAGAAACTGTAGAGACTTTTGAGTCAGGGATATATCTTTTTATTTATCTTATCGTGAGCTTTTGGTGTATTCTCAGTATTTTTACTGAATTGAATTTTTAGAGAAGTGGTATTCAAAGTATGTTCCAGACATTCTTTTGGGGGGCCCATGAGGTCAAAACTATTTTCATAATACTTTTAGGTTGTTACTTTCCCTTTTCACTCATTCTTCGAGAGAGTATGTTAAAATTTTTCAGAGGCTCTGTGACATTTGATATTGCAACAAGTTGAATTGGAAGCAGATTGACTATCTAGTTGTGTTCTATCAAGCCAGATATGAACAAGCTTTCCAAAAATGTAAAACAACTTCAATCTTTTCGCTAATATTTTTTTGTTTCAGAAAGTGCAGTTATTTGCATAGAAATATCACTTATAATAATATGTTATGAATCTCTAATTGTTATTTGTCTGTGCTATTATTAAAGGGACCAACAAATTAGTGGAGTTTTTTATTTGTGTTTTGTTTTGTGGTGGTAGCACTGGATGTTGAATCCATTCATGCTTGCTAAGCACATGCTTTATCACTGAGCTACACCCCCAGCCTTTAAATTAGTATTTTTAAATTTTCTCAGGTTTGATTTCTAGAATGGTAAATATTAATAGTTCTAATCCACTAAATAAAAGCTCCTTGTGATCTTCAATAATTTTTAAGAGTATAAAGGAATTTTGAGACCAAAAAATTCAAGAGCCTATTTTAGAACATTAAGCTAGAAATAGAATCTATAAGTTTCTGTTCCTAGAACCCATCCAAAGCTAATTTTCAAATCTCTAGGATTTGATACATTGAGACCGCAAATGCTCCTTACTACCTGAAACCTTCTGCAATAATTATCAGGAAATGTAATTCACAAATACAAATGAACATAGCATTGGTAAGCAAAGAGGCTTTATATTTAGCTCAAAAATGTAGATACAGAAATGCAGATAACTAAAAGACTTTGTTATACAATCCTGGGACCCAACCCAGAGCCTCACACATCCCCAGCCTTTAAAAATGCATTTTAAGGCATTAATAAGTGTAAACTGATAATGTCAGAAATATTACTTAACTCCAAACTTTCTCAGTCTGTGGTCACATCTTAAATCTATCAAAAACATAACATTTCGGCTGGGGATGTGGCTCAAGCGGTAGCGCGCTCGCCTGGCATGTGTGCGGCCCGGGTTCGATCCTCAGCACCATGTACAGACAAAGATGTTGTATCCACCGGTCCACTGATAACTAGAAAATAAATATTAAAAATTCTCTCTCTCTCTCTCTCTCTCTCTCTCTCTCTCTCTCTCTCTCTCTCTCTCAACATTCTTTGCCCCCAAAACATGAGTAGTATACCCCAAAATGTTTGAGAATGAGCTTTTGTGGTCAAGTAACTTTAGGAATTCTGCATTGAATTGAGCTAAGCAGACTGCATTTCTGTGACATCTTAGATCCTTTTTAGTTATCCCATCTCTAAATTTCTTAACCATGAGAATCCTTTTTTTTTTTACAAAGTTGTAAGCCTCATATCCCTCAGATACTTTAAGAAATGGCACTACAGATATATTAAGAGATGATGCTGCACATGTAGAATGTCTACATGTTGCTACTGACATGCTGTACCTAAGTTTCAGAGAACAGGATGTGATGAAAAACACAGAACTAAATCTATATTTGTTATGACATGGACTTAGACCACAAATCCTATGCTCTAAACATAACCTCAAACAATCAAAGCCTCTAGAATATTTTTCACTGGTAAAACAGGTACAAGACATCCTATTTCAGGACTGTGAAAGGATTCCACTATGTTTCATAACTTACTATGACATTTGAGGAAATTCTGGCAGATTTCCATTTAAGGCCACAGGTTGTATCGTCTCTTAAAAGAAAAGTCAGAAATTTGACAGAAGCCATATGTTTCAAAGAGTTGAAGAGTAATAACTCCCTCTGGGAGTATAAATGGAAGAAGCTGGATGGAAAAGACCTTGTTTAAAGATCATAAAGTATAAAGCACTCTGAGAAGTGTTGAAGGTAAGACCTCAACCTTACAAGCTGATAAGCAGGCCCAGACTTTTATTTATAGTGACATGAATGACATTTATCTGCCTTCACTAGAACATCTAATCCACTTGTCAAGGTGTGTCTTAAACGGAGACCTGATTTCTGGTCAGAGTTGGCAGGCTTTGAATACAAATGTGACCGCCCTGGCTGAAATTCCTGATTGGAAAAAAAAATCATTGAGATATGAAATCACCAGGTAACTAAATATATAACTCCATTTCAATTTGTCTCAGAGAGGACAATCCCTAAAGTGGGGTCTTGACTTTATGATAGAAATTATGGTCTGTCAATTAAAGTAGGAGTGGAATGAATTACTGAGGGGTTCATAAGATTCAATATCTCCCTACSGAGTCTCTAAATAGAATCCTAATAGAATTATAGATGCATCATCCTTACCCAAAATTCATAACCCAGTCCAACTTCAGGAACTGAAAAGATGAATCAAGACTRTCTACAAGACTGCCTAGCTGTAAAGGAAACTATGGGAACCCAGGGTCCAATACTTTCTTGAGGAACTTAGTCTTGATTGATAAAAGATAAACACATCTAAATTTATTAATTTGAATAGCAGTTCAGGCAGCAGAGGCCATAACCATTTATAAATAAACTGAATTTACTATAAGAGTTCAAAGGAAGTAAAGAAAAGTTTAACGTGGGTGGGGAGTCAAGCAAACATTTGTGAAGGG